AACTTTACCTGAGAAAGGAACATGGGCAAGCGAATAATCTTTAGCCTTGTAATGCTCAAAGCCATGTACAGGTAATGCATCTGTCGCGAGCTCGTCATTATTCCAAGTGACAACTCGCACTTCTGGTCTCTGTGCATTGCCCTGCTATCAAGAATTTACTCATCTTAGCAATTAGTTCCAAGCTCACCATATATGGTGCAACCCATTAACTAAAAGCTAACCTCTTATCCTCCCACAACTAATATATGCCTACTGGTGTGAGACCTAGTCGCAAAGCCTCTAAGGCCTCCTAATAGATCAAATTCCACCAAAAATGATGAAGGCAACATTTAACAAAAAATCTTTACAAGAGCATCAAAAGGTTATGCCATTGTATGGAGAAAATGAGTTCAATATAAATATGCAAAAGCCAGAAAAAAGAAAGGTATTTTTTAATGAAGGAAAAATTAAGCACGATAAGAATTACGCATTTGAAAGTGGTGGGTATCTATATAATGGGGGTAGAGAACACTTGTCTAAAACAACTTCCGATAACCATAATAGATCACTAAGTTACATCTTAAGTAATGGGCCTAAAAATGCTACATTTGAAAAACTAAAAAACGACAACAACGATAAGTACAGGAAAAGCAAAACAAAACAAACGGGAAAAATCCCAAAAATAGTTAGGAAGTAGGAGAGAGAAATAATTCATGTTTCATATGCATGAAATCTGAAGCAAATTTGTGAATTCCATTGTCACGAAAAGAATAAAGCATGATTAAGTGGAGCACTTCTGTATTACAAATTTACACACAACATTCACCTAAAAAAGTTGGCCAATTTTTTAAAACACACTATTTCCACTAACATGGACATAGCAGTAAAATATGGGACAAGCATGAGATTGAATCAATAACAGAGATAATCAGACAACTAAACTGACAGTAAAAAATGAAATAATGAATCAACAACACTCTGAAGGAAGAACAAGGAAAATACCTGACGTGACGGAACAGTGCTACTGAAGTCCTCCCCGTCTTCCTCCCCAGGGATGTATGCTAGAACCACCAAAGAATCACCATAGGGAGCAATTCCTGAAATGAAATAGCTGGTTTGAAAAGATGCCACAATATCCACCTTGTTCATGCTAGACATTGGAATGTGCTTATATGTCCCATTGGCGCCGGTATTCTCATTGGTTCTAATTGATGCGATTTTAACAGATGTTCCCCAACCAATGACCAACAGAGTATCGTCCTGAATGTGATGTAGAATATGTTAAAAAAAAAACAGTTATCTAAATCAAAAGTAATTCCACGTATAATACCATCAGTTAGTAATGGCATAGTATTCAACAATATAGTTGTGCCCCTTTTTCAGACTATTCCACTTCTCTTCTCATAGACTTTCCATAATGTTCCGTGCATTGTTTATCTTCAACTAACCTGCCAAACTAAATGAGGGAGCAAAAGCTCAGGGCGGGGACTTCCTCGAGGTCTTTCAATGAATGTTATACGTTGATCATTAGCAGCATCATAAACTTTGACACCTGCATCATTAGCCCAGGCGATGAGACTAGATCTCCACTTAACTACGTGAATTGGACCTTCACCAGAGTGTAGAACCTGTAAAAAGGATATTATTTTTCTGAGATCAAGATTTCTGAAAGCTCTGTCCCCTTTAAATTAGCATGGGTGTAAAGTAGAATAGTTCAGGAACCTAAACAAACCTGGTCTCGATAGCCTATCCACTTCTTGACATTAAAATATAGATGACCAGCTAAACCTCCAGTGACGAATCTTCTGGATGATTTCCTTGCATAATCTGGGTCTAATGCAATGGCCTTCATAGGACGGTGATAATCAAATTTCATTTTCTCCTCGGTGAAAAGACTATTTATCACAACAGAACCATCATCAGAACAGCTTCCAATGTATTCACCTTCTATATCAAAGCAGATATCATTGACTGCAGCAGTATGGGCAGTAAATTCTTTAACCTGTAGAAGAGGAAATTTATTAACAATTTCAAGCATGCGGCTGCCTAATCAGGCAATTGATGTCATAAATTAAACAAAGTACCCATTTAAGAACTGTGAAGGTGGATTATTCTAAGTCAGAAAAATTTGGGAGTTATGAATTGAAAATTAAACGCGTTCATAGTAAGACAACTTAATGCGACTTAAGTTTTGGACTGAATTTTTTGGCTTAAATTATGTAGTAAACCCAGATCTTTCTTTTCAACAACGATTTTGCTAACTTGACATAGCCCATGTTTGTTAGACATTATTTGCCCATTTCTAGAAAAATTATTACCGTTGAACAGTGGGGCCGCCGAAATATTTGACCAGCATGTGAGATAGTGGTGCCCAATAATTTGAAAAAAAGGGTAAAATTCTTCATTTTTTCCTCAAAGTAATGCAGGCCACACAGGGGCATAATAAATAACGCCATTCGGTTACATGTTGGCATTTAATAGTGCCATGTAGGATTTAAAATTAATTTTGTTAGACCAATCGACCATTAGTGTGGCAATTAGAAACATAAGTGACTAATACAGTAACAAAATAACTTCAATGACTATTGATGTAATTAATCAAAACTTTAGTGTCCATTAGCGTAATTAACACTCCTAGATACACACATTATTGGAAATGTTGAAAGTGTTGAGACAATAAAACAATTCTGGAATAGCACGTGTCACAGGCTTTCCGACAACTTTTACTAATCCATGCAGAAACTTATGTTTTATAAAGTAAAATGAGACGTTATATCCTTTCAGGATTTAATTATGTTTGTGTCAAAGTCGTATTATATTTTGCCTTTGTGGACCACAATATTGGTCCACAGTTGTAAGCTAGGATAATGAGGTTGGTGAGTCCTAATTTGAGTTCCAAATATTCTGGATCACTTTAGCTCAGGTATTCGTGCCTCAGTTTTCCCAATTTTGAAGTCGTGTATGCTGAACTCTGAATAGAACCCAAAGCACCCTTCTGTTTCTATTAGAAGCAGGATATTATTATTAGGTTTCTTATGCACTGTGTTGAGCTATTGGAGACTTCTTCTGTGCTTAAGCAGCATTAACTGACTCATGAGACATGCATGATTTATCTAAGGTACCATTATTCTAGGTCATAGAAAAACAAACTAGATGGTGCTCGAGTTGGAAGTGAATTTATTTCCGCCCAATCATTCATGTGTAAGTTTTATAATATTAAAATTGCTCATTTCAGACAAAGTCAAGGCACATTTGAGAAAGTAATTTGTTAAACACCTAAAAATAGATTTTTTATCAGTGAAGAGTGAAGGTTCAATATTAAAATTTAAATATATGTTAAAGTTAGCAAGGGTAATCCATTTATAATTATACAATTAAGCCCGACAGATTACTCAATAACTGGTATAATCAACACCAATCCCTTGTGTGTGTTCAGCTAAGAGAGGATCCTGGCACTTTCATCATATGAAGTTATGCACTTTCTCAGCACAAAAGATCTTATGCTAACCATTATCTTATTTCTTTCAATCCTCGTGACATTCTTGAACAGCATTAATTTCTTGCAAGCTCATATATGTTTCCGTGTCTGTATATGTGCAATAGCCTGAAAATTCTTTCTTTCATTTTTCAATAATTAAAAATATTACGTTCTTAAAGATTCCTTCAGGCAAATTACTTACAGTTTAACACATAAGTGCAAACAGCGTCAGCTCATTCAAGGATTTCAATAGTTAGTCAAACCACCAATTATAGCATTTTCCAGTTACCCAAATCACCTTTCAATTCAACCAACTATACTCTTCGTCCAAAAGGTGCCAAGATAACATATCCAGATCACCCACGATTCTCTTAACAAAACTGCTAATTATCAGTCAAAATCTAAAAGCTCAAAATCCCACTAATGATCGCCATATTATCTAACTGAATCAAACAAAATTCCAATACCAATACCAAGTAATTATAAACACAATTCAATAAAAAAATCAGAATAAAACAACTAACTTGATTGCCAATGAAATCGAGAATGTGAACCGAGCCGCTATGGGTACCGAGGGCGATCATGCGTTCAGCAACGGCAATACATGAAGCGGCATCGCTTTGGAGTAGCGTGGGCACACTGCCACCCATTCTCTGGTACTTGAGCCTCGGCTCATCTTCCTCTTCTTCCTCCTCAGCCTCTGAATTTTCTTCCTGTGATTCTTCTTCTCTCTCGTCGTCGCCTTCCATTCCGTTCTCTGATTGCTTCTGTAACATTATGGAAAAAGTAGCTAAAGGCAATGAAATTTAATGATTGAATCAGTGAGAGAGATCTGTTGAGAAATTGAGCTGGAAAATTGGATTAGGTTTTTCATTATTTATTATTTGGGAGCGACTTAAAAAGTTCAATTATGGAAGTGCTAAAGTTTATTTGCAAGGTGACAATCTTAAATAAAAAAGTGTTATTTCCAATTTTGCATTATTTATTTTATTTTCCAATTTTGGATTAGTTTCACTAATAAGCAACCAACTTTAATTTGTTTAAATTCATTACTAAACTTTACAAAACATTTCATTCAAACCCCCTATTGAATTTGAAGTTCATTATCTAAACAAATACTATATGTTGATGTGATAAATAACGGTTATATTTTTCATTTTAACCAGATAAAATGGTGGCCCAAATGAGAGTTATATGTACTTGTGTGTGTATTGTCTCTTTTAATATATTTCTATTCTTGCAATAAGTAAATAATCTACATTTTTCGATAAGTACTTTTCGTAAAAATATAAAACAATCAAGCCCCTATTTGTTTCACATTAATTTCACAGAAAAATGATTTTTTTTATCGTTATTTTCAAAAAAGTGAGGTCCACTCTCACACAAATTGGTCAAAGATTCCGGCTGCAACGGTATAAATTCTCCTTAGTATTGGAAACAAACAGAGGCTCAATATTCCATCGAAATTTTGATGCTGGTACCACAAAAAATTAAAATAATTTCTTTTAGTAATTCAAATGGTTATTATATTGCATATGGACACAACTTAACCTCTTAAATTGAGCTCAATTAGTAGGACGGTTCCGACAAGTCACGTGCTTAAAAAAAAAAAAAACCATTATGTAGCATGAAACGAAAATCTTTCCTCATATGAAACAAAATTAACTATTAAGTTTTTTTATATATTTTTTTTCAAATTCGATATGAATCCTTCTCTTTGAATAATTAACCCAAAAAATGAGCATCTAGCCAATAAGAGAATTCGTTCTCCATATCCTTTCACGATGATTCATATAGCAAGCATTTAGTTATTGACACATCTTTTGTAAAAGCGCCTTGTAGCTTCAATTAGTCAAAGCTATTTTGCGATAACTTAAGATCCTTGTGAATGAAGTAAAGATATCCAATTCATTAAGATTATCAGAATTTCTAGAAGCACATTTATTACTACTTGAATTCTTGCAATATATGATAATCTACACTACCCGTGCTATAAATAAATATGGGAGTGCTAAAGTTTATTTGCAAGGTGATAATCTTAAATAAAAAAGTGTTATTTCCAATTTTGCATTATTTATTTTATTTTCCAATTTTGGATTAGTTTCACTAATAAGCAACCGACTTTAATTTGTTTAAATTCATTACTAAACTTTACAAAACATTTCATTCAAACCACCGATTGAATTTGAAGTTCATTATCTAAACTAATACTAAATGTTGATGTGATAGATAACGGTTATATTTTTTATTTTAACGAGATAAAAGGGTGGTCCAAACGAGGGTTATATGTACTTGTGTGTGTATTGTCTCTTTTAATATATTTCTATTCTTGCAATAAGTAAATAATCTACATTTTTCGATAAGTATTTTTCGTAAAAATATAAAACAATCAAGCCCCTATTTGTTTCACATTAATTTCACAGAAAAATAATTTTTTTTATCGTTATTTTCAAAAAAGTGAGGTCCACTCTCACACAAATTGGTCAAAGATTCCGGCTGCAACGGTATAAATTCTCCTTAGTATTGGAAACAAATAGAGGCTCAATATTCCATCGAAATTTTGATGCTGGTACCACAAAAAATTAAAATAATTTCTTTTAGTAATTCAAATGGTTATTATGCCCTTGTTTGAACCCCATTATATCTCATTACATTACATTAAATTTTTCTCTCTCTTCATCTCAACAATACATTCATCAAATAAAATAATAATAGTAATACCATAAACAACATTTTTTTAATGAATAGTACTATTTAACACCGTTCGTATTACACCACCACTTTAGATGAAATTAAGCCCTTGTTTGCCCCCCATTATATCTCATTACATTACATTAAATTTTTCTCTCTCTTCATCTCAACCATACATTCATCAAATAAAATAATAATACACATAAATTTAAAACTTTTCAACCACACATCTCCCATCAATCACTATTCTAAAAATTTTCAACCCCCTAAAAATCTACAATAATGGGGACCAACAGGGGCTATATTGCATATGGACACAGCTTAACCTCTTAAATTGGGCTCAATTAGTAGGACGGTTCCGACAAGTCACGTGCTTTAAAAAAAAAGAAAACCATTATGTAGCATGAAACGAAAATCTTTCTTCATATGAAACAAAATTAACTATTAGACTGTGTTTGATAGCATGGAAAATGGGTAGAAAGGGAAAACATTTTCCAACTTTTCCTTTTTGTAGTGTTTTACAGCAAGAATTTGGCATGGAAAATGGGCCAATGTTTTTCCCTCTA